GTCAGGCGAAGACAATTTCCCTTTCAAATTTAACGATTGGTCTCGAAGAAGAGACGGTCAGGCGAAAACAATTTCCCTTTCAAACCTGCCTTAACGATTGGTCTCGAAGAAGAAACGGTCAGGCGAAGACAATTTCAAACCTGCCTTAACGATTGGTCTTCAAACCTGCCGCTTTAACGATTGGTCTCGAAGAAGAGACGGTCAGGCGAAGACAATTTCCGCTTTCAAACCTGCCTTAACGATTGGTCACGAAGAAGAGACGGTCAGGCGAAGACAATTTGCTTTCAAAGAAGAGACGAAAGAGACGGTCAGGCGAAACAATTTTTCGCTTTCAAACCTGCCTTAACGATTGGTCTCGAAGAAGAAGAAGAGACGGTCTTAACGGCGAAGACAATTTCCCGCTTTCAAACCTGCCTTAACGATTGGTCTCGAAGAAGAGACGGTCAGGCGAAGACAATTTCGCTTTCAAACCTGCCTTAACGATTGGTCTCGAAGAAGAGACGGTCAATTTCCCGCTTTCAAACTTAAATTTCCGAAGAAGAGACGGTCAGGTGAAAACAATTTCCCGCTTTCAAACCTGCCTTAACGATTGGTCTCGAAGAAGAGACGGTCAGGCGAAGACAATTTCCCGCTTTCAAACCTGCCTTAACGATTGGTCTCGAAGAAGAGACGGTCAGGCGAAGACAATTTCCCGCTTTCAAACCTGCCTTAACGATTGGTCTCGAAGAAGAGACGGTCAGGCGAAGACAATTTCCGCTTTCAAACCTGCCTTAACGATTGGTCTCGAAGAAGAGACGGTCAGGCGAAACAATTTCCCGCTTTCAAACCTGCCTTAACGATTGGTCTCGAAGAAGAGACGGTCAGGCGAAGACAATTTCCGATTTCAAACCTGCGAAACAATTTCCCGACTCGAAGGTCTCGAAGAAGAGACGGTCAGGAAAACAATTTCCCGCTTTCAAACCTGCCTTAACGATTGGTCTCGAAGAAGAGACGGTGGGCGAAAAGACAATTTCGATTTCAAACCTGCCTTTAACGATTGGTCTCGAAGAAGAGACGGTCAGGCGAAGACAATTTAAGGAACGATTGGCCACGAAGAAGAGACGGTCAGGCGAAAACAATTTTCCCTTTCAAACCTGCCTTAACGATTGGTCTCGAAGAAGAGACGGTCAGGCGAAGACAATTTCCCGCTTTCAAACCTGCCTTAACGATTGGTCTCGAAGAAGAGACGGTCAGGCGAAAACAATTTCCCGCTTTCAAACCTGCCTTAACGATTGGTCTCGAAGAAGAGACGGTCAGGCGAAGACAATTTCCCGCTTTCAAACCTGCCTTAACGATTGGTCTCGAAGAAGAGACGGTCAGGCGAAGACAATTTCCCGCTTTCAAACCTGCCTTAACGATTGGTCGATTCGAAGAAGAGACGGTCAGGCGAAGACAATTTCCCGCTTTCAAACCTGCCTTAACGATTGGTCTCGAAGAAGAGACGGTCAGGCGAAGACAATTTCCGCTTTCAAACCTGCCTTAACGATTGGTCTCGAAGAAGAGACGGTCAGGCGAAGACAGCTTTCAAACCTGTCTTAACGATTTCAAACCTCGAAGAAGAGACGGTCAGGCGAAAACAATTTCCCGCTTTCAAAGCCTTAACGAAAAGGCGAAAAGGCGAAAATTTCCCGCTTTCAAACCTGCCTTAACGATTGGTCTCGAAGAAGAGACGGTCAGGCGAAACAATTTCCGCTTTCAAACCTGGTCTCGAAGAAGAAACGGTCCGAAGAAGAAGAAGAGACGGTCAGGAAAAACAATTTCCGCTTTCAAACCTGCCTTAACGATTGGTCTCGAAGAAGAGACGGTCAGGCGAAAACAATTTCCCGCTTTCAAACCTGCCTTAAAGATTGGTCTCGAAGAAGAGACGGTCAGTCGAAGACAATTTCCCGCTTTCAAACCTGCCTTAAAGATTGGTCTCGAAGAAGAGACGGTCAGGCGAAGACAATTTCCCGATTTTAAACCTGCCTTAACGATTGGCCACGAAGAAGATACGGTCAGGCGAAAACAATTTCCCGCTTTCAAACCTGCCTTAACGATTGGTCTCGAAGAAGAGACGGTCAGGCGAAACAATTTCCCGCTTTCAAACCTGCCTTAACGATTGGTCTCGAAGAAGAGACGGTCAGGCGAAAACAATTTCCCGCTTTCAAACCTGCCTTAACGATTGGTCTCGAAGAAGAGACGGTCAGGCGAAAACAATTTCGCTTTCAAACCTGCCTTTACCGATTGGCCACGAAGAAGAGACGGTCAGGCGAAAACAATTTCCCGCTTTCAAACCTGCCTTAACGATTGGTCTCGAAGAAGAGACGGTCAGGCGAAAATTAACGGGTCAATTTCCCAATTTTCAAACCTGCTGAAGAACGATTGGTCTCGAAGAAGAGACGGTCAGGCGAAGACAATTTCCGCTTTCAAACCTGCCTTAACGATTGGTCTCGAAGAAGAGACGGTCAGGCGAAGACAATTTCCCGCTTTCAAACCTGCCTTAACGATTGGTCTCGAAGAAGAGACGGTCAGGCGAAGATTTCCATTTCAAACCACCTTAACGATTTTCAAACCCGCTTTCAAACCCTTAACGATTGGTCTCAAAGAAGAGACGGTCAGGCGAAACAAGTTCCCGCTTTCAAACCTGCCTTACCGATTGGCCACGAAGAAGAGACGGTCAGGCGAAAACAATTTCCCGCTTTCAAACCTGCCTTAACGATTGGCCACGAAGAAGAGACGGTCAGGCGAAAACAATTTCCCGCTTTCAAACCTGCCTTAACGATTGGTCTCGAAGAAGAGACGGTCAGGCGAAAACAATTTCCCGCTTTCAAACCTGCCTTAACGATTGGTCTCGAAGAAGAGACGGTCGAAGCTTTCAAACCTGCCTTAACGATTGGTCACGAAGAAGAGACGGTCAGGCGAAAACAATTTCCCGCTTTCAAACCTGCCTTAACGATTGGTCTCGAAGAAGAGACGGTCAGGCGAAAACAATTTCCCGCTTTCAAACCTGCCTTAACGATTGGTCTCGAAGAAGAGACGGTCAGGCGAAGACAATCTCTCGCTTTCAAACCTGCCTTAACGATTGGTCTCGAAGAAGAGACGGTCAGGCGAAGACAATTTCCCGCTTTCAAACCTGCCTTAACGATTGGTCTCGAAGAAGAGACGGTCAGGCGAAGACAATTTCCCGCTTTCAAACCTGCCTTACCGATTGGCCACGAAGAAGAGACGGTCAGGCGAAAACAATTTCCCGCTTTCAAACCTGCCTTAAAGATTGGTCTCGAAGAAGAGACGGTCAGGCGAAAACAATTTCCCGCTTTCAAACCTGCCTTAACGATTGGTCTCGAAGAAGCGAAGACGGTCATTGGTCTCGAAGAAGAGACGGTCAGGCGAAGACAATTTCCGCTTTCAAACCTGCCTTAACGATTGGTCTCGAAGAAGAGACGGTCAGGCGAAAACAATTTCCCTTTCAAACCTGCCTTAACGATTGGTTTCGAAGAAGAGACGGTCAGGCGAAAACAATTTCCCGCTTTCAAACCTGCCTTAACGATTGGTCTCGAAGAAGAGACGGTCAGGCGAAAACAATTCCCGCTTTCAAACCTGCCTTAAAGATTGGTCTCGAAGAAGAGACGGTCAGTCGAAGACAATTTCCCGCTTTCAAACCTGCCTTAAAGATTGGTCTCGAAGAAGAGACGGTCAGGCGAAAAGAATTTCCCGCTTTCAAACCTGCCTTAACGATTGGTCCTGGAAGAAGAGACGGTCAGGCGAAAACAATTTCAAACCTGCCTTAACGATTGGTTCAAACGGTCCGAAAATTTCCGCTTTCAAACCTGCCTTAACGATTGGTCTCGAAGAAGAGACGGTCAGGCGAAGACATTTCCCGCTTTCAAACCTGCCTTAACGATTGGTCTCGAAGAAGAGACGGTCAGGCGAAAACAATTTCCCGCTTTCAAACCTGCCTTACCGATTGGTCCTCGAAGAAGAGACGGTCAGGCGAAGACAATTTCCGCTTTCAAACCTGCCTTAACGATTGGTCTCGAAGAGAGACGGAGGCGGTGCCAGATTGGCGAAGAAGAGACGGTCACAATTTCCGCTTTCAAACCTGCCTTAACGATTGGTCTCGAAGAAGAGACGGTCAGGCGAAAAGAATTTCCCTTTCAAACCTGCCTTACCGATTGGCCACGAAGAAAGACGGTCAGGCGCCTTTCAAACCTGATTAACGATTGGTCTCGAAGAAGAGACGGTCAGGCGAAAACAATTTCCCGCTTTCAAACCTGCCTTAACGATTGGTCTCGAAGAAGAGACGGTCAGGCGAAGAGCTTTCAAACCTGTTAACGATTGGTCTCGAAGAAGAGACGGTCAAAGACAATTTCCCGCTTTCAAACCTTAACGATTGGTCCTTAACGATTGCGTCTCGATTGGTCCTCGAAGAAGAGACGGTCAGGCGAAGAAACAATTTCCCGCTTTCAAACCAGGCGAAAACAATTTAACGATTGGTCTCGAAGAAGAGACGGTCAGGCGAAAACAATTTCAAACCTGCCGCTTTCAAACCTGCCTTAACGATTGGTCTCGAAGAAGAGACGGTCAGGCGAAAACAATTTCCCGCTTTCAAACCTGCCTTACCGATTGGTCTCGAAGAAGAGACGGTCAGGCGAAAACAAGCTCTTAACGATTCAAACCTGCCTTTAAACCTGCCTTAACGATTGGTCTCGAAGAAGAGACGGTCAGGCGAAGACAATTTCCCGCTTTCAAACCTGCCTTAACGATTGGTCTCAAAGAAGAGACGGTCAGGCGAAAACAATTTCCGCTTTCAAACCTGCCTTAACGATTGGTCTCGAAGAAGAGACGGTCAGGCGAAAACAATTTCCGCTTTCAAACCTGCCTTAACGATTTTCAAACCAGGCGAACCAATTTCCCTTTCAAACGATTGGTCTCGAAGAAGAGACGGTCAGGCGAAGACAATTCCCGCTTTCAAACCTGCCTTAATGATTGGTCTCGAAGAAGAGACGGTCAGGCGAAAACAATTTCCCCGCTTTCAAACCTGCCTTAACGATTGGTCTCAAAGAAGAGACGGTCAGGCGAAGACAATTTCCCGCTTTCAAACCTGCCTTAACGATTGGTCTCGAAGAAGAAGAGACGGTCAGCGAAAACAATTCCCGCTTTCAAACCTGCCTTACCGATTGGTCTCGAAAAACAATTTCCCCGCTTTCTGTAAGAAGAAGAGACGGTCAGGCGAAAAACAATTTCCCGAAGAAGAGAGACGGTCAGGCGAAAACTTTCAAACCTGCCTTAACGATTGGTCTCGAAGAAGAGACGGTCAGGCGAAGACAATTTCCCGCTTTCAAACCTGCCTTAACGATTGGTCTCGAAGAAGAGACGGTCCGAGGCGAAGACAACGGTCAGGCAAAACAATTTCCGCTTTCAAACCTGCCTTAACGATTGGTCTCGAAGAAGAGACGGTCAGGCGAAAACAATTCCCGCTTTCAAACCTGCCTTACCGATTGGTCTCGAAGAAGAGACGGTCAGGCGAAACAATTCCCGCTTTCAAACCTGCCTTAACGATTGGTCTCGAAGAAGAGACGGTCAGGCGAAAACAATTTCCCGCTTTCAAACCTGCCTTAACGATTGGCCAAAGAAGAGACGGTCAGGCGAAAACAATTTCCGCTTTCAAACCTGCCTTAACGATTGGTCTCGAAGAAAGACGGTCAGGCGAAAACAATTTCCCGCTTTCAAACCTGCTCGACCTGCCTTAACGATTGGTCCCACGAAGAAGAGACGGTCAGGCGAAAACAATTTCCGCTTTCAAACCTGCCTTAATGATTGGTCTCGAAGAAGAGACGGTCAGTCGAAGACAATTTCCCGCTTTCAAACCTGCCTTAAAGATTGGTCTCGAAGAAGAGACGGTCAGGCGAAAAGAATTTCCCGCTTTCAAACCTGCCTTAACGATTGGTCTCGAAGAAGAGACGGTCAGGCGAAAACAATTTCCGCTTTCAAACCTGCCTTAACGATTGGTCTCGAAGAAGAGACGGTCAGGCGAAAACAATTTCCGCTTTCAAACCTGCCTTAACGATTGGTCTCGAAGAAGAGACGGTCAGGCGAAAACAATTTCCCGCTTTCAAACCTGAAGACGAAGAAGAGACGGTCAGGCGAAAACAATTTCCCGCTTTCAAACCTGCCTTAACGATTGGTCTCGAAGAAGAGACGGTCAGGCGAAAACAATTTCCCGCTTTCAAACCTGCCTTACCGATTGGCCACGAAGAAGAGACGGTCAGGCGAAAACAATTTCCCGCTTTCAAACCTGCCTTAACGATTGGTCTCGAAGAAGAGACGGTCAGGCGAAAACAATTTCCCGCTTTCAAACCTGCCTTAACGATTGGTCTCGAAGAAGAGACGGTCAGGCGAAAACAATTTCCGCTTTCAAACCTGCTTAACGATTGGTTCGAAGAAGAGACCGATTGGTCTCGAAGAAGAGACGGTCAGGCGAAACAATTTCCGCTTTCAAACCTGCCTTAACGATTGGTCTCGAAGAAGAGACGGTCAGGCGAAAACAATTTCCCGCTTTCAAACCTGCCTTAACGATTGGTCTCGAAGAAGAGACGGTCAGGCGAAAACAATTTCCCGCTTTCAAACCTGCCTTAACGATTGGTCTCGAAGAAGAGACGGTCAGGCGAAGACAATTTCCGCTTTCAAACCTGCCTTAACGATTGGTCACGAAGAAGAGACGGTCAGGAAAACAATTTCCCGCTTTCAAACCTGCCTTAACGATTGGTCTCGAAGAAAGAGACGGTCAGGCGAAAACAATTTCCCGCTTTCAAACCTGCCTTAACGATTGGTCTCGAAGAAGAGACGGTCAGGCGAAAACAATTTCCCGCTTTCAAACCTGCCTTAACGATTGGTCTCGAAGAAGAGACGGTCAGGCGAAAACAATTTCCCGCTTTCAAACCTGCCTTACCGATTGGTCTCGAAGAAGAGACGGTCAGGCGAAAACAATTTCCGCTTTCAAACCTGCCTTAACGATTTGGCCTTACCGATTGGAAGAAGAGACGGTCAGGCGAAAACAATTTCCCGCTTTCAAACCTGCCTTAACGATTGGTCTCGAAGAAGAGAGAGAAACAACGGCCTTACCGATTGGTCTCGAAGAAAGACGGTCAGGCGAAACAACCTTTCCGATTTTCAAACCTGCCTTAACGATTGGTTCAGCGGAAACAATTTTCAAAGAAGAGACGGTCAGGCGAAAACAATTTCCCTTTCAAACCGGATTGGTCTCGAAGAAGAGACGGTCAGGCGAAAACAATTTCCCGCTTTCAAACCTGCCTTAACGATTGGTCTCGAAGAAGAGACGGTCAGGCGAAGACAATTTCCGCTTTCAAACCTGCCTTACCGATTGGTCTCGAAGAAGACGGTCAGGCGAAAACAATTTCCCGCTTTCAAACCTGCCTTAACGATTGGTCTCGAAGAAGAGACGGTCAGGCGAAGACAATTTCCGCTTTCAAACCTGCCTTAACGATTGGTCTCAAACCGGTCAGGCGAAGCCTTTCAAACCTGCCTTAACGATAGAAGAAGAAGACGGTCAGGCGGACAATTTCCCGCTTTCAAACCTGCCTTAACGATTGAAGAAGAGACGGTCAGGCGAAAACAATTTCCGCTTTCAAACCTGCCTTAACGATTGGTCTCGAAGAAGAGACGGTCAGGAAGAAATTTCCCTTTCAAACCTGCCTTACCGATTCAAACCAGGCGAAAACAATTTCCCTTTCAAACCGATTGGTCACGAAGAAGAGACGGTCAGGCGAAAACAATTTCCCTTTCAAACCTGCCTTAACGATTGGTCTCGAAGAAAGACGGTCAGGCGAAAACAATTTCCCGCTTTCAAACCTGCCTTAACGATTGGTCTCGAAGAAGAGACGGTCAGGCGAAAACAATTCCGATTTTAAACCCTTACCGATTTCAAACCTGCCTTAAACCTGATTGGTCTCGAAGAAGAGACGGTCAGGCGAAAACAATTTCCCGCTTTCAAACCTGCCTTACCGATTGGCCACGAACAAGAGACGGTCAGGCGAAAACAATTTCCCGCTTTCAAACCTGTCTTAACGATTGGTCTCGAAGAAGAGACGGTCAGGCGAAAAAATTTCAATTTCAAACCTGCCTTAACGATTTTCAAAGGCGAAAACAATTTCCCGCTTTCAAACCTGATTGGTCTCGAAGAAGAGACGGTCAGGCGAAAACAATTTCCCGCTTTCAAACCTGCCTTAACGATTGGTCTCGAAGAAGAGACGGTCAGGCGAAAACAATTTCCCTTTCAAACCTGCCTTAACGATTGGTCTCAAACAAGCCTGCCTTACCGATTGGCCACGAACAAAAGACAATTTCCGCTTTCAACCGATTGGTCCACGAAGAAGAGACGGTCAGGCGAAACAATTTCCCGCTTTCAAACCTGCCTTAACCGATTGGTCTCGAAGAAGAGACGGTCAGGCGAAAACAATTTCCCGCTTTCAAACCTGCCTTACCGATTGGCCACGAAGAAGAGACGGTCAGGCGAAAACAATTTCCCGCTTTCAAACCTGCCTTAACGATTGGTCTCGAAGAAGAGACGGTCAGGCGAAAACAATTTCCCGCTTTCAACCTGCCCCCTTTAACGGTCGATTGGTCTCGAAGAAGAGACGGTCAGGCGAAGACAATTTCCCGCTTTCAAACCTGCCTTACCGATTGGTCTCGAAGAAGAGACGGTCAGGCGAAAACAATTTCCCGCTTTCAAACCTGCCTTAACGATTGGTCTCGAAGAAGAGACGGTCAGGCGAAAACAATTTCCCGCTTTCAAACCTGCCGCGATTGGTCTCGAAGAAGAACGGTCAGGCGAAACAATTCCCTTTCAAACCTGAAGAAGAGACGGTCAGGCGAAAACAATTTCCTGCTTTCAAACCTGCCTTAACGATTGGTCTCGAAGAAGAGACGGTCAGGCGAAGACAATTTCCCCTTTCAAACCTGCCTTAACGATTGGTCTCGAAGAAAGACGGTCAGGCGAAAACAATTTCCCGCTTTCAAACCTGCCTTACCGATTGGTCTCGAAGAAGAGACGGTCAGGCGAAAACAATTTCCCGCTTTCAAACCTGCCTTAACGATTGGTCTCGAAGAAGAGACGGTCAGGCGAAGACAATTTCCGCTTTCAAACCTGCCTTACCGATTGGTCTCGAAGAAGAGACGGTCAGGCGAAAACAATTTCCCGCTTTCAAACCTGCCTTAACGATTGGTCTCGAAGAAGAGACGGTCAGGCGAAAACAATTTCCCGCTTTCAAAACCTGCCTTACCGATTGGTCTCGAAGAAGAGACAGGCGAAAACAATTTCCTCGCTTTCAAACCTGCCTTAACGATTGGTCTCGAACAAAAACAATTTCCCGCTTTCAAACCTGCCTTAACGATTGGTCTCGAAGAAGAGACGGTCAGGCGAAAACAATTCCGCTTTCAAACCTGCCTTACCGATTGGCCACGAAGAAGAGACGGTCTGAAAACAATTTTCCGCTTTCAAACCTGCCTTAACGATTGGTCTCGAAGAAGAGACGGTCAGGCGAAGACAATTTCCGCTTTCAAACCTGCCTTACCGATTGGTCTCGAAGAAGAGACGGTCAGGCGAAAAAATTTCCCGCTTTCAAACCTGCCTTAACGATTGGTCTCGAAGAAGAGACGGTCGAATTTCCCTTTCAAAGAGACGGCCACGAAGAAGAGACGAAACGAAAACAATTTCCCTTTCAAACCTGCCTTAACGATTGGTCTCGAAGAAGAGACGGTCAGGCGAAACAATTTCAAACCTGCCTTAATTGATTTTCAAACCTGCCTTTCAAAACCTGCCGATTGGTCTCGAAGAAGAGACGGTCAGGCGAAAACAATTTCCGCTTTCAAACCTGCCTTAAAGATTGGTCTCGAAGAAGAGACGGTCAGGCGAAAACAATTTCCGCTTTCAAACCTGCCTTACCGATTGGTCCACGAAGAAGAGACGGTCAGGCGAAACAATTTCCCGCTTTCAAACCTGCCTTAACGATTGGTCTCGAAGAAGAGACGGTCAGGCGAAACAATTTCCGCTTTCAAACCTGCCTTACCGATTGGTCTCACGAAGAAGAGACGGTCAGGCGAAAACAATTTCCGCTTTCAAACCTGCCTTAACGATTGGTCTCGAAGAAGAGACGGTCAGGCGAAAACAATTTCGAAAAACCTGCCTTAAATTTCTCGGTCAGGCGCAATTTTTCAAACCTGCCTTAACGATTGGTCTCGAAGAAGAGACGGTCAGGCGAAAACAATTTCCGCTTTCAAACCTGCCTTAACGATTGGCTCACGAAGAAGAGACGGTCAGGCGAAAACAATTTCCCCGCTTTCAAACCTGCCTTAACGATTGGTCTCGAAGAAGAGACGGTCAGGCGAAAACAATTTCCGCTTTCAAACCTGCCTTAAAGATTGGTCTCGAAGAAGAGACGGTCAGCCGAAGACAATTTCCCGCTTTCAAACCTGCCTTAAAGATTGGTCTCGAAGAAGAGACGGTCAGGCGAAAACAATTTCCCTGCTTTCAAACCTGCCTTAACGATTGGTCTCGAAGAAGAGACGGTCAGGCGAAAACAATTTCCGCTTTCAAACCTGTCCGAAGAAGAGACAGTCAGGCTGATTGGCCAAACGAAGAAGAGACGGTCAGGCGAAAACAATTTCCCGCTTTCAAACCTGCCTTAACGATTGGTCTCGAAGAAGAGACGGTCAGGCGAAAACAATTTCCGCT